CTCCCAGTCGAACCCGTACAACAGATTGGCCAGCGCGAGGTCCACCGTGGCAACGCCCATGTGGATCCCGGGGCAGCCCCGTCTACCCGCCCCGAACGGGACGAGCTCGTAGTCATTCCCCTTGAAGTCCACGTCGCTGCCCAGAAACCTCTCCGGGTAGAAATCGTGGGGCCGGTCCCACGCCTCCGGGTCCCGCCCGATCGCCCACGCGTTGACGAACACCACGGTCTTCGCCGGGATGTCGTAGCCGCCGATGTGAGAGTCCTGCACCGTCTCCCTCGGGACCAGCAGCGGCACCGCCGGCTGCAGCCGGAATGTCTCCTTCACGATTGCCTTCAGGTAAGCGAGCTCCTGCACGTCGTCCTCGTCGACGAACCCCTTGTTCCCTACATGGGCCCGGATTTCCTCCTGGGCCCGTTTCAGTGCTGGTGGGTTGGTGATGAGGAAGCTCATGGCCCATATCACCGTCGCCGCACTTGTCTCCGTCCCGGCGATGAACACGTTCTGTTTAAGAAAAACAGTGGTAGTACCATCAGACCAAGTCTTTGTTTGTTACGTAAGAAAAAAGTGAACACACACGTAATTACGTACCATGAGAACGCCCTTGATGTGGTCCCAATTGAGGTCGATGGAGGACTCCCTCCCTTCCTTGATCCTGAGGAGGACGTCGATGATGTCTTCGGTCTCGGGTTTGGGGCGGTTGGGGTCGCGGTGCTGGTCGATGACTTCCTGGTAGAAGGTGTCGAGGTCCCTGAAGTTCCTGTCCAGCCTGTCAACCATGCCGTTGAGCTTGTCCAACCACCGCATCCCGGGGAAGTAGTCGCCGTAGAAGAAGTTGCCGAACATGGCCTGCGACTCCATCAGCATGTTTATGAAGTGCTGCCTCTCCTTGGCGTCGTCGTCGTACTTCTTCCCCAGGGACACCCGGCAGATGATCGAGATCGTCAGCGACATCATCATGTCGTTTATATCCACCGGCTTCCCGCTCTCCACGTTGCCCCTCACCTGTACGTCAAAAGAAAAAATATGAGACCTTCAGGTTAAGGCTGACTACTACTGATATTACTACTATACCAAACCCTTGAGAGAAAAAAAAAAAAAAAATACAACGACCTTTTTCATGAGCCGCGTCACTTCTTCCTCCCTAACGGGGCGGAAGGTCTGGACGCGGCGGAAGTTGAAGAGGTGGAGGGTGCAGATCTTGCGCATCTCGCGCCAGTAGTCGTTGTAGGGGGCGAAGACGACGTCGAAGCCGTCGTAGGAGAGCTTGCGCTGGCCGAGGAGGTTGGGGCGGCTGCAGAACTCGAGGTCGTGGTACTTCATGACTTCCTTGGCCATCTTGGCGGAGGAGACGACGAGTCCCTGGACGAAGCCTAGGCGGAGGGAGATGAGGGGGCCGTACTGCTGGGCGAGGTCGTAGAACTGGCGCTGGGGCTGGGAGGTGTCGAGCATGTGGAGGTTGCCGATGATGGGCAAGGGTTTTGGGCCTGGCGGGAGGCGGTACTTGGGCTGGCTGCGCCGGTTGAGGAGGAGGAAGAGGAAGAGGAGTGGGAGGGAGAGGAGGATTAGGAGGAGGAATATGGACGCCATTTTTTGTTTTTGTTTGTTTTTTTGGGTGAGTGAAAGATGCTCACTCACTCACTCGGCTGGCTTAGAGGGAATGATTGTTGGGAGCATGGGAAGGGTTTATATAGGCGGGGGTAGAGATCTACTGTGGTTTATGATTGATTGGTTTCAGGAGTAGGGAAAAATGGTAAACTGTAATTATCTTTTTACGATGGAATCAAAATGCTGGAGGGAATGGACAACTAATATTTATTTGTTTTTTTTTCTTTTTAAGATACTGTGAAATCATACTGACATCGTGGTTTAACAATGGTTCAACTGTTTCATATTGTGCGCTAAATACCACCTATCGGTATAGCCTTCAATGTGAAGTTTTTTCCTGCTCGAACCATCAATATACGTTACGATTTCTCAATGCTCGATTACACATATTTTAAATTTTGATTGAACATAAAAGGAGTTGTAATGTCTTCTGAAATACAAGTGGCTCCGACACTATTTTTTATTTATTTATAAAGGTGATAATGTTACTTTTTCCGATTAAATACTACTAAAAGGATTCGAATCTGTAACTTTCATGTTCAATGTTAGTGGAATTACCACATTTGACCATTCTCTTGTTCGTTCGGGCACTGTTGTTTCTTTGTGTGGGGCAATCGGCGAGGGACTCTTTTGTCAGTAGGATCTGTTTTTACTTTTTTTTCTTCCAGGCTGAGCAAATCTCTTTAGAAGTTTCGTGGGATGTGGTTGGTCACTCAAGACTATAAGTTAGTGCGGATACTATTATGAAGAATCTAGGTTTAAGCAGGTAGGAGAGATTTCTACACTCTTCTGGTATGGAAATTCTTGTTCCCATACGCAGATGGAAGTCCAGTTAACCATGGATTCTCTAATCCGTAGCCTGTACTGTTAACCTTTTGAAAGATGCACTACTAACCGACTGTGAGAAGTGGGCTCACATGGGCCCTGTCATATATACCCTTAACTGCTATGCCTGCCATACGGAAAGCCCAAAGAAAGAGGAAATTGGGTAACGTCAGCCCAACTGTACCACACACTAAGGGACAGTGACTTAGTAATCCACTGGTACTACGTATCAGTGTGACAGTCTTTGTATTATGCATGCCCATACTAAGATATTTTTCTTGAGTTTTTCTTGTTTCATTTCAAGAAGAACAGGCTTAACTCCATCCTGTCAATAGGGTGATGATGCCCCTAGAATCCTAGATGCTGGCCTAGCTCAGCATGTTCATGCTTACTAGGACACGGTAAATCGAAGCTCTAGGAATCAGTAGCAGAGCCGGAATTTGAAAGTACCTATGTTCTCTTTCCATGATATAAATATATAATAAATATAATTAAAATTAATAATATCAAAATAGTTCATTGATAAATATTAATGAAATATTAGACTAACACAATCATTATTTTCATGAGTACTTACAACACATTTTCAAATTCTCAATGTATCCGACTAAGCAACAATTAGCAAATTGGTCGCTATTTAACTTTGAAACTTGTTTTTTATATAGCTCATAGCTGAAAATGTTCTTTTTACACTTGCAGTTGCAACGAGTAGACTCAAAACTAACTACAGTCGACAGAGAAATCGATTTTTCAGTATTTTGAATTTTGTTTATAGTGTGATAAATTAGTTTATGTTAGCTTTTAAACTTGAAATAACTTGTAGTATAGTGATAATTCACTTTTATATTATCTAAAGGTGACGAGTGCAATCCTTAATTGATACATATATATGGGTATTTTATTTTATCCAAAAATTGTCTGTGTCCCGGGACACACCCAATTGGCTTTGGCTCCCCTATGCTAGGAATGCTCTTTTATTTTTTAGACTATATATAAATTGAGACCCGTTACTCAGACTTTATCAAGGTTTAACGTATAGAAATAGTGGATTTCACTTAGATAAGAAAATGAGAGCATCATCATGAATAATGCTCGTGAGATTTCGCTATTTTCGATTATTCAAAATAAATTTGTTGCGCTAAAATTTAATGCTATGAACAAGAGAGTTACAAAAAACAGGTAGCACAAGCCAGAAAAGAAGTGGGGAACTTTAAAACGTGCACAAGGAAGGCAGATGAGGGTAGACAAGGTAGGTGGGTGTGAAATGAACTATCCATCTCAATAATGCGTTCGTTCGTTTGTCCTTTCGCTCATCAAAATCTGAATAATTTCTTGGTCGGCTGAAAAAAGATAAGTATTCTTTTTTATGGCTCAAGGATCGTCGTGTTTATTTATTGGTAGGACGGCCATAACACATTTTCAAGAGAAAAATCCAAATCCAAGCAACGAGTGAAGGAGGCTCTCCAATGAATCAATCACCTTTGAATTGTAGGGTTGCCATGGTATAACTTTACTAGAATTCTGTTTGTGGCTATGATTTGCTAGTTATGAAAAAATTATTCTATGGAGAGACTGCATAGTGTATATATCAACCACGAGTCTTATTGATCAATTATGATATTTTTCAGTGATGTCCTTATTAGGGTGAGTATGTGGGTGGTTAAATCGCGGTTTCACATTGATCCACTCTACTGTAGGTGGGTGATTGGTGTGGATGGATGATGGATCGTCAAACATCTTACCCACACTTATTCAGGTCGGTGATGTGGGGTTTTGACCTGAATGACTCACACTCTATTTTCACATGAAAAAGTTGTTTCTTTTTTATACTATCAAAAAGTCATCCTATTTTCTAACCACACTACGTACCGACCATTGACTTCTATAAGTGGAAAATAAAGAATAATAGACTACTACTATCGGACCAAGTTGTGTAATGTTCATTAGATATTGAGATTAAAATTACAAACAATTAATTATATCGATTCACAGAAAAAAATCAAATTTCTCTTTAATTGGTTAATGGAGTGATGAAAGAAGTGATACATTTATCTAAGAAGTAAAATTTCTCTTTACATACCGTTTGGTATAAATGAATTGCATAAATTTTGAGGAATTCATTTTGAATGGAAATATTTTTGTGTTTGGTATTTAAAAGAATTCATTTTCAATTCTAAATTTTGAATTCTATGGAATTGGTACTAGTTATAGCAATTCCGAGGAATTGAGATGGAATTTCCAAATGAATTCCACAACTATTTACTAATTATAATAAAATGACATAATTATCCTCTTTGTTAACTAAATTACTTATATATATGACATACCAAACACAAGAATTCATTAGACAATGAATTCTACACGACAATTCTCTTTATTTCTAAAGATTTGAATATGACATACCAAACACAAGATTTCGTTCGACAATAAATTCTACACGATAATTCATTTTACAATAAAATGAATTCTTAATTTATTTATACCAAACTATCTGTTTAGTGTCTAATAATATGTAATGACTTTATTTCTTAGTCAATCAATTTGTGTTTGTAAAAAAAAAAACCACCCTGGCTCCTGAACAGGCCCAAGGACGGTTGCGAATCTCTGCAGCGGCGACAGTTGTGATACTTTTACCCTCTCCACCGACGCTTTCGACGTCATCGCCAAACACGACGCCGGCCGTGTTCAGATCACCTACAAACGCAGACTGCGGACGATGGCGAGGCGGTTGCGGACGAGGCCAAGGCTGGCGCTGGTGTGACCGACGCATGCGCAGTCGAACGCGATGCAAGTTGCTTCAGGGAGAGAGAACGAGAAAAGAAACAGCCGGACAGTCGGAGCAGCGGAGGATTATTCCAGTCGGACTCGATCGGAGCGGGAGCGGATGCAGGGGTGTGTAGGTCTGAGGGAGGAGGCGGCGGGGGCGAGAGATGCGACGAGTTGGACATGGGAGATGGGGTAGAAATTGATTGGCAATGGGATTAGCAATCCGCGGAAGGCGATATGATCACCGGCCAAGAGCGAGGCGCATTCCTTCCATCTCTTATCAAGATCTTCCGCAGTGATGGCGCCGGTCAATTGGATCCCACGCTATCGTGCGCCCTAGCAGTTCTCGCTGCCCAACGCCATCGTGCGTTTCCATCCTGGACTAGCCTCCAGCCATAATTTCTTTTACTAACTTTTTGTAGGGCTTTAAAGGAGCTTCAGCCTGGCGGTGAACGGGTCTTTTTGATGATGACAAGTTTTCCGGCGGACGGCGAATCTACGGTGGTACAGTTGCATTTGTTGGTGCAGTTACACCCCACGATAATGCTTTGGACGGTTACAATTCCACGGCGGTTGTCACAATTCTAAACACGGGTTCTAACGGCATTCAAACGCAGTAGCTAATATGACTTGTAGAGCATCCTTAGTGGAGATCCGATGGCATTTGAATTTTGTTTTGTCCTTTAAGGAGGCGATTATATGTTTCTTTTTTTGCAGGTATCTTGCACATCAAATCTATATATCTAGTATATTGGAACTCGGCTTATAGGAGACGTGGAGTTCGTACTCGCCAAATTGGTGCTTCAAGAAGTTTGCCGCAAGAAGACTTCCTTTGCGTTTATTTGTTTTTTTATGTTTCTAGTCATACTAACAGGGCTGCCCATTGCGTGGCATACACGGCTCTTGCATCGGTAGCAACCCTTTTGGTTGACTACCGCTCTTTCATTTTCACCGCATTGTAACACCCTATCTATTACGAACTATCTATGACAAAAAAAAAAAAAAAAATCAATTTGAGTTTGTAACCAACCTAACCATCCAACGCCTACCCTATTTCTCATTCTTAAGATTGAACTACCTCACTCATCAATTATAGTTCCGAATTGATGATACATGTCCGGAATTCGAGGCCAATCAATAAAAGGGCATTTGTCATTTGGCACTTGGCGGTAACGGACTAGTGGACAAGTGGTGTGTTCGACCAATATTCTGAGATTTATTTTTTATTACCTAGTAACCTTAGCCACATGTTATTTTGTGAGAGCATGACCTACTAAATTTAGGGGTCACTTGCAATTAATTTGACGCCAACGGGGCTTCGCCCACAAGAGCCTTATACCTCCGAGAACATTAACGGGTCTCGTTTGGATTCGAACTTGGGATCTGCAACTCTCAAACTTTTACTGTCATGGCAGCTTTATCGTTAGTCTATCTTACATTTGGTTAATATTTCGATACCTCAAATCAACTATTTGATAGGGATGTCACGGGATCACTCCATTTATCTTCTGATTGTTCTCGATTCAGAATTAGATCGAATTCTTGTATGGTAAAAGATCACTTTGTTGGTTTGTTGTATGAGATACTCATAAGCAATAAATTGTCAGTAGTGAAATGTGATAATAATTGCAATATATAAAACTAGCCTATTTTTAATAATTAGCTTTATATTGGATAGAGATCTCATTACAACAATTTTTGAAAATGATAACTAGGTTCAAGAAAGTGCGCCTAGGCGAACGCCTAGGTTTGATTAATCGCAAAGCGGCGGAAGAGCGCTTCGCTTTTGACAAAAGCGTTGCATAAAGCGTTGGGGGCACTTAATTTAGAATTAATGGCGCCTAATCGGCGCATAAAGCGACTGCCTTGGACCGCTAAATTTTTGCTACTAGTTAGAGCTGAACAGCCCTGTTTTTCATCTCCCTTCCTAGAAAACAATTCTCACTCAAAAAGTTGGAAAACCTCAGCCAAAATCAAACCCTTTGTCTGTCTTCCTCCACCGGCCGCTCTAGGTCGATACTCGCACTCTTCCAGGCTCTAGGTGCTACACATTCAGTCATTCTTTATTCAGCTCTGGCTTACTGATGTTAGTTAGGGCTGAAAATTTGTCTGTCCCGTCCCTGTCCCGTCCCTGTCCCTGTCTGACCCGTCCCTGAAGGGTCAAGATGTATAATCGTCCCGTCCCGTCCCTGTCTCCTTCTTGACCCTGTCTGACCCTCAAGGGTCGGGACGGGACGGGCCGGGTCAGTGGGTCGACCCTAATCAACACACTACTTTTTTACAAATTACGTTTTGGTACCCAAAATTATTTTTTCTTACAATTTAGTACCTAAAATTTATTTTTTTTACAAATAAGTCCATAAATTTTGATGGTAAAATTACGTTTTGATACCCAAATTTTTTATTTTTACAAATTAGTACCTAAACTTTTAAAACTTTACAAAAAGATCCAATGAAGTATGAGATATTTGTTGTTGCTAAGGGTCACAGGGTCAAAACGTGACCCATCCCTAAGTTGTCCCGACCCGTCCCGGCCCTTATAGGGTCAACAAATGACCCGTCCCTAATCTGTCCCTGTAGACAAACTGACCCGTCCCGACCCTTAGGGACGGGATGGGTCGGGACGGGTCAGTGGGTCTTCAGGGACAAGCTTTCACCCCTAATGTTAGTCAGTTGGGGAAGGAGCTCATTGCTGGATCGACCGTCGGTGAGAGAGAGAATTATGATGAGAATTTTCTGGCGGCGGAGAGGATTGTCAGACGATGGGGAATTTTCCGGCGACATCGGCCGTTTTGTTATGTTTACTGGACTATTTTGTAATGTCTGTAAGAATGTTTGTATTGTTTATATAAATTCCGATTTGTATCATTTAATATTCTAGTTTATCATTTTTATCTATTATGTTTAAAACTAGGGGTGGCTATACGGTCCGGTCCGGTTAAATTGGCCAGAATTGATCCGGTTCCGATCGGGTCTTTTTGTTGGAAGATCAAGTCAGAGGATTGATTGCTGTAATCTCGGCTTGCCTCAAAAGGAAATTGTGTCCTTTTGCATTCAGAGTTTCCTTATATTGTTTTAACGGCTAGTTTCTTTCAAGCTATATATATTCTGCTTCTTTAAAGGATTGGGGGCACTTTTGTACGAGCTATAGTGGTAGAGGGCATAACACTGGGTTTACAAAAGGGTTGACGAAACATTGAGGCAGAGGTTCAACTTTCATCAAGGCTGAAACAGATCGGAGAGTGATCTGGGTTTTATTTCGTGTTCATCTCATTGCTTCTTTTGTATTTTTTTTGTGCTTTCTGTTCATAGACTTAATCGTTAATAAAGGGTCTCCCAGACAGTATTCTGGGACCTGGAAGTAAACCACTGCACTTGGGCGAACCACGTTAAAAATGCCTTGTGTTCTTTAGCTTTCTGCTCTTTACATTCTGCTGAGTTAGTACTTTGTTTTCAGAAGCTCTGTTTTTCCTTCTTCATATCTTGTGTTGCTGTCCTTTGGTGACTCTTTCTTAAGTTTGGAAGAAAAAAGATTGGGCTCAAAGCCCATTCTCTGTCACCCTGTCACATTCAACTGATTCTCTCTTTAGTTATCTGTCGGATCCTTTTCTATTTATCGGCCCACTTTCTTTGTGGATTTTGGAGAACAAAATCAAAGCTCCCACTCAATCATCCTCCTCGATTGTTCTCTGAAATCAGAATTCCCCTTTGAACCCTAATTTCCAAATCGATCAAAAACCTTTTTTCAATTGGTATTAGAGCAGGTCCTTGACGAAGCTAACTACTGCCAAGGGTTTCGATCCAATGGCTTCTAGTTCCTTCGGTCATGCTGCTATCAATCATCCACTGATTTTCACCGGTTCAAATTATACCACGTGGAAAAAGAGGATGAAACAATTCATGTGGGGAGTTGACGAAGAACTTTGGCTAGTTGTGCAGAATGGTCCCATCGAGATGAATGATGAAGAGCAGAGTACGTGGTAAGCTGCGCAGAAGAAAAGCGCGCAACTGAACCAGCGAGCGATGCATGTGCTGCAATTGGTGATGAATCCAGACGAAGCCGATCAGGTCGAAAACTGTTCAACAACCATGGAGATCTGGATAGCCCTAGAAAGCACTTATGAAGGTACTTCCAACATTAAAGAATCTCGCATAGATCTTTTAGTGCATGAATATGAATCCTTTAGCGTGATTAAGGGTGAAGGAATACATGAAATGTACTCTAGGTTTACTATCTTGATAAACAAATTAAAAGGGCTAGGAAAGACTTATCAAACTAAGGATCTGAATAGAAAAATTCTCAGATCATTGCCTAGAGAATGGCTTCCTAAACGTACCGCCATTGAAGAAGCTAAGAACTTGACCACTCTACCTATTAATGAGTTGATAGGATCTCCTTTAAGTCATGAGCATGTGTTAAAACAAGTTGGTCAAGAAGATGAAAGGCGTAGCAAGAATTTAGCTTTCAAAACCAAAATTGTGGATTATGATCCAGAAAGTCAGGAAGAAAGCGATTTTGACTAGGAATTTGCTCTCGTTAGCAAACGATTTCATAGGATGTTAAAGTACAAAAATGAACAAAATCAACGCCTAGATGAGTCTAGGGATGGAGGCTATGACCATACTAAAAACTTTTCTCAAGCTAGGCTGCTACCCCAGCAGACCAGAAAACCTTAAACAGGTCAGCAGGAAAGAGAACCACAAGCATGCTACAAGTGTGGCAATTTTGGATGCATCCGGGCACACTGTCCGCAAACTCTGAAAGCAAAGGAGAAAGCTATGAAAGCTACCTGGAGTGACTACGACTCAGATCAGGAGAATCTTGAATCAGAAGATGAAGCATTCATGGCTAAGGCAGAACATGAAGGGGATGAAGCAGAAATCCAGACTGCTAATAATGATCATAAATGGTACCTTGACAGTGGATGTTCTCATCACATGTCTGGTAAGAAATTTCTTTCTCATCCTTGAAGTCTGTGAATGGAGGAAAGGTCACGTTTGGTGATAATGGTTGTGGTCAAGTTGTTGGGTCAAGTACTATAGGGGAAAAACCTTTTCCTATGTTCAAAAATGTTCTACTTGTTGAGGGATTAAAACACAATCTTCTATCCATTAGTCAACTGTGCAGTAATTG